GTGCCCCTGGGTACTAAATAAAGTGTTTGTTTTTTGTGGTGTTTTGTTATTTACATTTGAGGTAGTCTGGAAGATCTGTTGATATCTGCTCACTGTTTGAATCCAGACGTCCAGCAGGTTTGAAGTCAACAATGAGGACAAAATTCTTTCCTCAGACTCGGAAAAATTAAGAAGAGAGAAATTTGATGCAATACTGAAACTCCAGCAAGAGAAGGGCGGCCTAATTGAAATCAAAAAGCATGAAGTGTTGCGGCCAGGTATTTTTCTTCCACAACCTGCTGCATTACCCTCAACAGCATCCACTGAGGAGGCAAAAGAGCAACAAGAAAAAGATATGGCATTCAACTCCAAAACAAATTCTAGTGGTTCCACAAACAAACCTAATACCAGTAGAGCAAGGAACTCCGGCACAAAGAAACACCAGGGGCACAATTCAAGAAAACAAGTTGCTCAAAGTTCAAGAAAACAAGTCACTCAGTGGGTTAAGAAAGAAAATAGTAATGCGACGTGATATGCAATCCTTAAAAAAAAAAACTTTGAAAGGAAAGAAAACCATTGTTTCTTGTCATTATTCATCGGTCTGCTGACATGATCAATTCTAATATATCAATGTCAAGCAGGGTTAAGTAGTGGCATAATTTGGGAAATCAAGGAAGTTGGCTGATAGGCGGCATCTACTGTTTATTGCGCAGAGTGTCATGATTGGAAGTGATAAATTTCTCATTTGTAAGATTTCTGTACCTTCTATGATATCTTTCTCCAAGACAAAATATGTATTAAAAACTTTTCAAAACAATTACTTCTGTCTTGTAACAGCTCTTCACCGAGTCTGAGGCAATCTGTGCTTTCACTATAAGTTTTATTGTGTCGATGTGACTGGAGAGATAAGTATGACTGTCCTGCAGATAAGGTATATTTACGGTCTTGGATTGGTGATTTATTGTGTTTTCCTGCACTGGACGTTCCCAAAATGGGAACTATTAGATAAATTCAATATAATAGACGTTTGTTGGCATCTCAACCTTCCTTCTCCTTTCTGGGCCTATATGAAAGAGAATCCAGTATTTCTTGGTCGTGAATATCTGAATTGATTGTTTGCTGCTAGAATTTTTTTGGTTAGGTATACCATCCTTTAGGTAGATTTTTTGGAGTGACACTAGCAATTTTATTCATCACATATTTGTGGCAACGATGCAACGACAAAGTTGTTTTGTCACCACAATAGCACTATGTAGTTATATTTCATGCACGTCAAATTAGGTGGTTTAGTGACTCCTCAAAAATATTGCAAAAATATGATACTTGTAGTCTCTATAATTTCATAAGTGGGGTTTGGAAGGAAGGTACCTTGTGAAGTATAAGATTAGACATAAAGGAAATTAGCAATATTCCAAATTAGTTTAGCATAAGATACAACAAAGATTGAAGAATAATTATGAAATACTCAGCATCTTAACTTTCGCCTTTCGGTTAGAAGGGATAATACGTATCGCCATATATACTTAGATGAATATTAAAGATATTTAATATAATTATTGATCTTTTAACTTATCCAATTGAGCTTTTTTCACTTTTAGAACTTGTCAAATGAGAATATAATTAGCATATTTTCGTCTAGTTAACGATAATCTTGAATGATGTCACAGATTTTTTTAAATAATAAAACACAAGCAAGCAGGAATGGATGCACAGTGTAACCTATGGATTCAATAGTTTTTCTTCAAATTTTGCATGTGTTAAGAAATTTTATTAAAATTGTGAATTTAGTTATTATTATTATATTTTAATTTGATATTTTTGAAGAAACACACAAATACTTTCAAATCTTAGATGCGCCTTCTTGTATTTCACCATTCTATGCATGAGATAGATTAAGGGGGAGGGAATCAGTAATGACCATAAATTAATTTATGTGAAGGTTCATGCAATATTAACCAACTTTATGGGATGATCGCTTGCAAGTTATAATTAACCCACAATAGCAGCCTCAAGGATATTCTTACACAATCTTTAGAGTTCTTTATCAAAGGTTTGATGTGAATTCTTTCTTTAAATAAAGGACCTTATGCCTATCTCTCTATCGATAATTTTATCATCCTTCTTGTCAAATGATTTATGGCTTTCACAATTATATATCAAAATATTAGTTATGCTTTGTGTATAATAATATTCATGCGATGTTCGAAATTTATATGAATTTATTAAAGAGGAATTTCTAAGACTTGAAGCCCTATCATTATTTTGACATGTTGCTTTCATTAATTTGATTTTCACCTTTTCTTATTCGTCATCAATATTAAAAATCCAACATCATCTTTTAGTCACTAATTACACTTTAATCAGATAATACTTATCCCATAAAACTCAATGCACCGTCCGCCCCCAATTCCCCTCTATCAATTAGTCCTCTTTAATTAAAAATTAATATACATATATTCTCCCCCCATAACAACGTAATTTCCTCTTTTAGCTTGGGGAAGAGGGCACAACCAGAAATATTCAAAGTAAATATGTTTAACCTTTACACTTTTAGCACTAAAGATATTTTACCATTAATATTTAGTATTGTTAAAACCACTTTTTATTATTTTACCCAAAAAACTATATCTTGTGTCATTGTAAATACTGAATTTTATTTAATCGAGTCAATATGGCTTGGTGAGGAAGGAGGGAATTTTGTGATAGTTACATTAACTATAAATTTATGCTATATATAGTATACAAAATGTACAACTAAAGTATACAAACTAGCGCTGCAAATTGCGACATAATGCGCTGCCCAAATCAACTATTTCTAACCAACAAATATTTTGGAATAGTACTGCCTAATACTTGGCAGTACTATTCCATGTCTACTCTAAATTTGAGTACTAGGATCATCAAAATTAGTAACTCCTGCCACCCCGATTTGAGTCATTGCCTTGTTTTTAACGATAAAGACAAACTCGGAGAGAGGTGGATGGAGTTTCAAGGAATCAAGAATTGGGACGGTTTGCTTGATCCACTAGATGATGATCTTCGTGGGGAGATTTTAAGGTATGGAGAGTTTGTAGAAGCAGCCTATGGCTGCTTCGACTTTGACACATCATCAGCCACGTATGCAACTTGTCGGTACCCTAAACGTTCGATGCTTATGCAGTGCGGACTAGGACGGAGCGGGTACAAGGTAGTAAAAAACTTGCATGCCACGTGTGCTGTTCAAATGCCACGGTGGATAGAGAAGTTCCCTAATTTGAAGTCGCCGCAATCCAGCTGGATTGGTTACGTGGCGGTATGCGATGACGTGGACGAAATTACCCGGCTAGGTCGCCGTGACATTGTGATTGCTTATAGAGGTACTGTCACTTGTTCGGAGTGGCTTGAAAATTTACGTGCCACATTGACTTGCTTACCAGATGACATGTCACCTGATGAAAATAGCGAACCAATGGTACAAAGTGGACTTTTGAGCATGTACACTACGAAAATTGAAGGTCATATTCCAAGTTTACAAGAAACAATTAGAGAAGAAATTATCAGCATTCTCAATAATTATAGTGATGAATATTCTCTAAGTATAACAATTACAGGACATAGTCTTGGAGCAGCCTTAGCTACACTTACAGCATATGATATAACAACAAAATTTAATAAGTTGCCTATGGTGACAGTTTTATCATTTGGAGGGCCTAGAGTTGGTAACAAGAGCTTTAGGTATCAATTGGAAAAAAATGGTACAAAGGTACTAAGAATAGTCAACTCTGATGATCCCATAACAAAAGTTCCGGGATTCGTGATTGACGATGATGACATGGCACATCGAGGGGAGGCCACGGTGGCAAGACTGCCAAGCTGGCTTGAAAAGTACATGGAAGATACTCAATGGGTGTATGCTGAGGTGGGGAAGGAACTTAAGTTGAGTAGCAAAGATTCAATTAGAAAAGGAAATGTAGCAATGTGTCATGATTTGAAGACATATTTGTATTTGGTGAATAATTTTGTTAGCTCATCGACGTGTCCCCTAAGGGCCACAGTAAGAAACTACTCCTTCCATCTCAATTTACATAACACCGTTTAACTTGACACACAATATAAGAAAAAAAACTTTTAAAAGTTAGGGTCTAAACCAAACTTTATACGTTTATGTAGCTATAAATCATTTTATTAAAGAGTAAAAGGGGAATTTAAAAGTTAAGTTACCTCTAATTATAGAACGATGACATTCTTTTTAGAACGAATTAAAAAGAAAAGTGTGGTATATAAAGAACAGGCCAGTACTGTTTGCAAGAGAAAGACTTGCAAATAGTGTTTGCATACTTTAGCTGCAAATTAAGGAGGGTTGCAATATTATGAACGGAAAGGGCCAAAATTACCGTTAAACTATTGGATTTGGATCACATATACCCTTCGTTTCATGTTGGTAGCAAAACTACCCTTATCGTTAGCACAAGGATCACAGATGCCCTTCAACTTAACAGGTCCTTCTTTGTGCTGATATGACACCTGATGTGGTAATCCAACTCGGACATGTCACTCCACTTTGGATGTCCAACTCAGTTATTATCTCTGAAAACACTTTCTTTTTGAAGAAAATTGAAACTAAGAAGAAGGACGACTTTCTAAGATAATATAATTATTAGTTGAGCGACTATATGAGAAATCAACCAGCAAAAACTTGTTGCAGTTGATCACCTAACAGCAGAGATACAAGATTCCTGATAATTCTCTGCACAGGTCTCAAAGATGAAAAATCAACCAGCAAAAGCCTGTTGCTATACCTTTTTGATCCACAGGAAGTTGCTGCCTTTTACCTTCTCCTTGTATGTATAGAATTTGCTTCTCTTTTGAGGAAAGGAGAGGAGAAACACCCATATTTCTTTCTTACTAGTCATGTATGCCTTTAGCTCCTTACTTCTCAGCGCAATCATTAACTTACACAACTATCATTTCATAAGAGAGATCAATTGTCTATACTAAAAGTTACTCACTAGGACTGAACTAAGGATCCGTAGTTGATTGAATCAGGGTAAAAAAGAGAACTTTACATCTTTTTGAACATATCAACGATGGTGTGTATATTAATTGTTTCTCGATATACAATATATAGTTACCGACTTTCATGCATATGTATGATATGCTAAGTCCTTCAACTTGAAATTGACATCCAACCTTGAATTTTGGGTTTGATGCTAATGCAGATTGTTGAAGACTCTGGCTTTAAAGCATCCACATCCGAAGGATCCATTCTGGACTTGATTTTGATCTTCGGTATGACTCTGAATTGGCTTTGGACTATTACCAGTAGTGGCTCTGGGAGAAGGAGATTCAAACATCTGCAGCTCAACCATTTCCTTGCCTTCACATATTATCTTAACCTCACAGAATTCAGGTGCATTTAGTAGTATCTGATCCGCTGTTCCACTACCTTTTCTCGACTTTAGTTTCCTTAAGACCCATCAAAAGGAATTGAGTTAATAAGATTCAGAAATGAGGACTATGCATTCAATAATACAAGTGAGATTTCATACTTGAGATTGGCTTTAGAGGTGCCCAAGATAAGCCTTCTTATGTTGCAGATGGGCATAAGGTCCAGTATGGCTTTTGCTTCTGTATCGCTCTCTATAAGTATGGTATCGACTTTAACCTGTTGTTGAATGTGTTTTGTTACATGGTTAACCTCATGTTATCTTTGTGTATTAAGAAGGTATGCTATGCTAGATGAATTAGTAGCCAATAATAATGGTTACCTTTGTAGCAGCGCATGCATCATAATACTTTTGAAGGAACTGCCGCCTCTTGCCTCTTTCTTGAGCCATGTGGTTCTCCTTTTGCTCTGCACTCACTTGACCTATTGGAATCAATCCCACTGTTGTAACCATCATCCACCAAGTAACGACAATTAGTCGATCAATATTGAAGTAATACTCTTGGTAGATTACAGCAAATTACACATCAAAAACAGTTTCTCAAGCATGAAACAAGCTAGCTAGGAGATTCCGGACCAACTGATGCTAACTCTTTACTGGTGTTAAATATCATGAATAGCCCTTAACCCAAGCAAGCTGATCCTGAATATAAATCCTGCTGGCCATTCAGTATCGTGTACTCGATTGGGCATGTGATTTATCGTAGGCAGCAACTCCTAGAGGTGTCATACTTGCTACTATAGCTAGAACTAGTTACAAATATCATTGAACGTTTCATAGTTTAGATTAAAATCATCCGTTGTTAGCTAATCAAATCTAGTCATTACAAATATCTTCATACAACAACAACATACTCAGTGGAGTCTGGGGAGGGTAATGTGTACACAAACCTTACCCCTACCTCAAAAGTAGAGAAACTATTTCCGATAAACCATCGGCTTAACTGATAGTAATAAAAGCAACATATAGCAACAGAACAGTAACTACAACAAAATAACAGGTAGTAACAAAACTCGAAGGACAAGACTACAAATATAAATGTTCATTGGTATCAAATATCAATCTGAAAAAAAAGAAAAGAGAGAGCTTACAAGGAGTAGGGATGTACTTAGTCTCAGGATAGATATGAATTAAGAAAACAATAGTAGAAGGAGGATCCAGCACAACATTTTTGAGTGTCCAAAGAAGAGCATCCATACTTGTCTCCTTACTAATCTTATTAGCACTACTACTATTCCCAACAGCAACATAAACAACAACATTCCCATTGTTATGGAAATCAAATGAATATAAAGTACTACTTTCAACATCATGACCTTCTTTAATTGTTGCTAACCCTCCTCTATTATCAATCTCAAACAACTCACTTGCCCGAACATAACCATTAATATTAGTCCCCTGTTCCTCTTCTATTTCTTCAATTTCATTCTCTAAACTACTACTTCTTCTTCTTCCTAGTACATCACAATTCCCATTTGTAGTTTTTTTTCCTTCATCATCATCATCACAATACAATTGCTCTCCGCTCTTCATTGCTGATAATCGTACTGAATACAGACCTCAATTTAATTTCCTTATACAGGTTGTAAATTTCACAACACACCTTGGTTCGGACATCTCAATGTGGAAAAACCTAGGCCCATTTTGACTTTTCCATTGATGTCGATACAAGGATACATGACGTTGCGAGATCCTTACATATAGAGAATATGCGAATACGTACGAGTATCTCGGCGCTCATTAGGTAATCAAATTCAAAGGTCAAACACATCTTTATTTGACTACACAATTTTTGAAGAATATAATCATATATAACATGCTCTTTTTTCCATCCACTTTTAATTGTCATGTTGCGCATTTCGAAAGTAAATTTGACTTATTTTCAAAGTTAAATTAGATTACATTAATTTGATATTTTAAACAAAAATTTAGATATTCAAAAACTATACAGAAAGTACTATAAATTCCAATTTTTTGCATATCAATATGATGAAAAATACATAGTAAAATGTTTGTCAAAGTTACTCTAAAAAAAAGGAAAAAGTATGACAATTAAAAGTGGGCGGAGATTTTTTATTGCTTCTCTGTGGAAATATTCCTATGTAAGGAGAAAAATCTTGTTAATATTTTCTTACCATAATATAACACAAGTTATGTCTTGGTATAATAATTTGTACAATTTAATCGCCAGAGAACTTATGTGTTAGAAACCACAAATTGGTCAAACCTATTTTTGACACTTTTTAAAATCTACTCTCTCTGCCCCTAATTACTTGTCCATTTTCTTTTTTTTAATTGTCCTTAATTACTTGTCCATTTTGACAATTCAAGAAAATAATAATTTTTTAACCTATTATTCCCTCAATTAGTTACTTTGAAAAAGGTAAAACTTTCTGAAAATCTTAAATTTTTAATTCATCCACTTCATAATTAATAGGAATAAAATGGTAAACTTACTATATCAATCATTGTTTTCTTAATAATTGTGTCAATTTAAAAGTGGACAAGTAAATAGAAATAGAGGGAGTGCTTTTTTAAGTTAATACAAACAGGCTCTTAGTTCCTAACTTCCTATGTAATGTAGGCTAATAAAAGTACAAGTTCAATTTTAAAACATTATTACTTAAAAGAAGTTTATAGTCCATAAAATATGTACTATTATTTCATTATATCTTTACCATGTTACGTTCTAATATAACACGTAATTTGCATTATTTCTGGTTTACTAATTCCACAGTAGTTTACGAAGGTTACTGGTACTTATTTTATAGGCCATTTATTCATTCAATCAAAGGTGAATTTCTTGAATAACTTGAAACAAAATAATATATTCATCAGACAATGTGAACATACAAGCGATAGTTCATTTTATTCATTCACTTGTAACATACTTGTACAACAGTCAAAATTGTGACATCGTTACGAAATTTGTGTAACAGTTTCTCCTCTAGTTCGCTCTGTTGTGGTCGTATCCCTTCCCCTCCGCGAAAAATAAATTAGTCTGTTTACTGTTTTCTCCTCCGCTAATGGGCAATAGCTGTTCTTCTTTGATGCCTCAGCTGATAGTATGGCACAAACTAAGCGGACACTGGTACATACTTCAAAATCCCGGTAAAACTGAGAGATCTACTATTCCCCTTGGCAAGTCTGCTATTTTCTTCAGCAGTGCAAGACGATTTGTTCTTACCCGTTCGTCTTCCTACAGTATGCATAAAGAACAATTAACATAAGAATAAGAGGTTCAAAGTATGCACTATAGTTGTATCAGCAGGCGTAGATTTATGCTTCACCAAAACTTTGGAGCTATTTTGGTTCATCACAACATACATTAATGATTTCCAAGTGAGAGAAATGTGCACGTTATTGAAAACCATATGAGAGAACACATACACGCATGGAAGGAAAAAGTTCGAAGTATTATAGTTAAGAAACAAACTGCACCATACAATTCTCTTAACAGAAAAACTACAGTGCAGGAAAGTATCAACACGATCTTTTAATGGGGATTGAGGCGTAGTAATAGTCATTATAGTGAAAGTGCTGGCATTGGAATTAAGAACATTTCCTACTTAATCCAAGAGAGTGTGGCTTCAAATATAATATTGGGTACCAAACCTATCAGAATTTATTTGAATTATTCATAAACAAAACTACGTAATTGCCAACTGGTGGAGGAATATGCAATGCAGATGTCTAAGCTAAAACAGAACAATGTCTAATTGCAACTGGTATATAGGTTTGGAATATGCAGTGGAGATGTCAAAGCTTAGAACAAAATCAATAATATAGCACGAGATAGAAGGCACAACATACGTCATAAGCCGCAAAAGAAACATGAAAAACTGTAGAGCAGAGCTCTATTATGGTCATGGAATTTCTTCAAGAATTGAAATGAAGAAATAACTGGGAGTAGATATTTATAATTTGGGCAATTCTGCTAGTTTTAGACATTATAAGACAAATTACTCTTCTTTTAGATCAGAGAGAAACTGAAATAGAAAAGAAAAAGCACATTGATGCAAGCACAAGACAGGAAGGCGTTCCATAGGAGCTAAGAAGAATAAACTTAACAAAGAAAACATGATACTCTATACGATGCATTTCATCTAAGATGGGAAAAACCATGGTAAGCAGAGCTATAGGCCTATACTCTGTTGGATGCGAAGAAATCAAGATTATCTAGTCAATGCTTCAGAACTATGAAGTTTTCACATGTAAGAAGTAAAATGAGATCAGAGGAACTTACCACCATTACAAAGACCTCGTTGAAAAAATTCTCCAGCGGTTCTACAAGTACTGATGATGCTTCAACAAAATCATCAACTTCCATGTCTGCAAATGAACAGTAGTCATACATGCATGCTCAATTGTAATTTTTTTGGTGAAAAACTCAATCCACCAATAAACAAGAAACAGAAGAAGTAAGTATTTACAATGTAACCTCAATGTAACAGACAGCTACATTTATTTGAATATATTACGAAAGGTTATTCATCTGGAGGTGAGGCAATACCTGGATGTATTTTACTTTTTAGTGACAAGTAAGTGTTCCACAAAGCTTTCTCTTCATTTGTTTCAAAAGCTTGATCATCCACCTAATTCATAATGAAAATATGTTTTTACTAGATAAGAACAACGAATGCAAATAGACAGCCAACTAAATCATTCATGTTGCAGAATTGAGTGTTTCGGAGAGGTAATAAAAAAGAAAGGATCAATTTATGCTCAATACTCTACCAACTATCACCAATAGCAAGAAGAGTCATGATTCTTGACTAAAAAGGGAACCCATTGCTACACATTGTAAGATGTCCATGGAGCTTGACAATATTAACAATTGTATTACCAATCCAGCAGAGCAGATTTGAAACAATTTTTTCCTAGTTGTCAAAGAGAAAAGCTTCTAGATAACACCAAAAATGACTTTTGTATCAAGAATGCCATTTTGCTACAGGTGCAACTTACATGCATAGCTATTCTATAAAAGAAAATTAATGGAACAGAATATGTTCAGAACCTGGTATAGTGGAGTATAATCACAAAGAAGATTTATGTTACAGAAGGAAATTTGCTGAGTATAGAATAAGAGGCACCTCCACATCAACATTGGAATCCTTCCCGCGAACAATTCTTGTTGGACGTGAATATGCTTCAACAACCTTAGGCAAAAGCTCCCCTTTGGACAAGGACTCCATCTGAAAATGATGGCAATAAATATTCGTTACACAGTCCAAAACATCACAATGAATTCGAATAAATACTTCTATACTAACTAAGCCCATTGCTCTACTCCAGAGCCAGCCGTATGCATTCAACATGAGACACAATACAAGACATTTAACTTCCCAAAAGGAGAAGCAATCAAAAACATTCCCAACCCTTGGCCACAAATTTGAAAATTAAAGCCCAAAGCTCTTGAGTTATATTTTATGATTCTTGATGAAGAGTTGTAATTTATATTTCATTTACACTATATTCAAATTCAGCAACTTGTTTGGCACTAAAGCATAGTTGTTGTTTATATTTGGATTCAGCTGAAGAGCTAACTTTGACCACGAGCACATACAGAAAACTTCCGAAAAAAGAGCGTTAAAAATAATACAACCTCTCCTCCCAATGTAGCACTTCTCATGCGCCTATCTGTTTCCAGGGTCCTGGATATGACTCAAGATATTATCTAGCCTCCTTGTTGTAATCATTGATTTAACACAACATTTCAAAGTCCAAATTGCAAATATTCATAAACTGTTTGAGATAAATTCAAGTATTGATAACTAAACAGGAATAATTAAAATATACACAAAACAGTATTTCTAACATGATTAGGTTTTCAGAATAATTAGTGACAGAATCCAATGAACTTTTTTTAAGAAACATTGGTACTACAGAACTTGCTTAAAACTATAAAGTATTCCTTCAAAGTTAAACTGACGCAACGGGGTAGTATGAAAGAGTCAGTTCTTATAAAATTAGAGACTTAACCTCAATAGTGGAGAGTGATAGGGAGGGGGATGGTCGTTTGGAAGAAGACAACATTTGATCATTTAGTGGAGTACTACCATATTGCAGATACAACATGGAAACATCAAACTCCTGGACACTCAGGTGTATCTCTATTGCGTTCAATTTTTCAAAAGGACATTCCACTAGAGCGATTATGTGGACTACATGGGGAGAAAACAATAAAGAGCTTTCAAGAGTGAACATTACCATTTTCCACAAAAAAAGGAGCTTTAAAGAGAAAACACTCACTAGTGCATTTATGAGTTCCCCTACTTTTTATATTTTAAGTGGACCAATGATACTTCAACATGCATAACAGATTGGACAGAGAAGAACTCTTCTCCATAGGGCACTCATAAGCTGTGAGCCTCTTGGATAGGGTATTCTGACTTTTGTTGATAAAAATTTTAAAAGAATTTTTTTTGAATTGCCATATGGAGTAGAAAAGTACTGCCGCTTAAGACATGAAAGAGGAAAAAGTATCAGCAAAGCATAATAAGAAATAATTAAGTGCACAAGAAAGGAAAAGG